GAAAAGGGACAGACCCAAAGACTGAGAAGCAGCTCAGAGAATGTTTTAACCTGAGTTCAGCCTCTGCTTGGTAGGGACTAAGAATGGGGTTATATGCTGACTCAGTCCAGGGGAAGGAGAGAAACTGAACTCAAGTTTGGTTAAAAGCAGTTTGTTCTGAAATGTCAGTGGGGATTCACAGTTAGCTAATCATTCATGAGACAAACACTGGGAATTTGGAGCATCAGCATCTGGCTTTATTAGAGGTGAACAAGGAGGACAACCATGTGTCTTAAGTCAGATGGGGGAAGGCTGGTTCCTTGCAGTGAGTCATTTCAGAAATGCAAATTCGGTGGAAGAAATTCTTTAATCATTCAGGTTTTGCAGGATAACAGGACTTGGGTAAAATTCAAAATTGTCCATCTGCCAAAGAATTGCATCTACTGAAATACACTTTGACCCCAGCATTTTGGCCAGCTTTGAGAATTAGCTCTACAAGTCTTCTTGCTTTACGTATTTGAAAGGTATTGTTGAGGATTTATTGTATGTAAATTATATCTCAATTAAGCTGAACAACAGTAATAAAAATAGCCCAGAGAACTTTTTAAAAAATATATAATTATACATCTCATATTCCCTTAAGAACTTCTAAATAATAATATACCAGAACCAGGATTAAGTAATTTTAATTTTTTTTCAGTTGAGTTTGGAAAATGTTTCATTACATCATTGATTTGTCTCCTATATAAGGGCGCTTTAAATTTTTTTTTTTTTTTGCTCTAGAAGCAAGGAAAGATATATGCTTTATTTAAGTTAAAGTGATAACAATAATAAAAATGACTGACACATACTGAATACTACTCCATGCCAGGCACCCTGTAAAGATTTAAAATTAAATGTCTCATTTACCATATGCCAGATTCCATGAATTTTCCCCCATTTAAACCTCATCACAAATTCTTGTGTAGAAAAAGAGTCATTCAATAGACTTTTTGGATGACAGTGTGGTTAAATGTTGCTTCTACTAATGATAATAATCAACAGGATACTGATTATAATCATTAATTGAGTGCTTACCATGTCCCAGACACTGTTCTAAGAAGCTTACATGTACTGATTTATTTAACTATTCAATTACTCTGTGGTGCAGGTACTATAGTCATTGTCATTTATAGAGAAGAAAACCAAGGAACAGAGGAATTAAGTAACTTGCCCTATGTCATATAACTTCTAATGGAAGCTTAATCTCAAAGATGGTCATTCATGATTCATATTTCTTAATCTCTGTGAATCCTTAATTATTGGAATGCTGGATGATGTAAAAATCAAAATAATAATTTCAGAAATATTTTTTAAAGTTTAAAAACAGTACAAATAATTTCAGAAAGAGGCATCTGTGCTTTCTGCCAGACTTATCCTTCCTTAGAGTTGGCGAAGAGTTAGTGAATGGGTACCAGTGAAATGACTGGGATAAAGGCCAGACCATTAGTTAGAACACCTCCTCTGTCTGCTTTGTGTCTTAGTATGTCTTCTAGCACTTCTCATTCCTTGAATTTTCTTGATCCCCTCTTTAGGATAAGGTACCTGCCAAGATGTTCCAATTACAAGGCCCACAATTGCTACAGATGCTAGAGAAATCCTTGAGGAAATTCCTCCCTGAGGCCCTAAAGGTGAGAGTGGAACCTTCTAGGGGAAAAAAAGGAATAGTGACTGCCTATGAAAAAGGTGGGAAAGAGAATTAGCATTCACTGAGCACCTATTCTATTCCAGGCACTCACTCATCTTGCATCTCACATCGTTCACATCATCTTGCTGCCAGGCAGGTATATTATATCCATGTAACCAAAGCGGATCTGGAGGCTCAGTTATATGGCTTGACCAAAACCACACCAGTAGTGAGTGGCAATGCTATGATATAAACCCACTATGATCTTTGCTATGTGATGACCCAAGATCATTCCCTGTGCCCTTCTAAGAGTAATGTCAGATAGCAATGGAAGTGTTTCCAGAATTTCAAAATTGGCTGTAACTAACACATTCATGTTTAAATTTTTTTTTCTAAACAATCAAGTAACTGATGAAAGATTAACCATTATGATTCTTCTTTGAAATTAGTAACAGATCAATTTCTATTTTGTCAATCCCAAAGGTATTATGTTCAATTTGAGGTGACACAGAAATTTAGTTTTAGAAATGGAACATGATCTTTTACCAAAGAGAGGGTTTTTTTGGTTGTTTATTTATTTATTATTTTTTGCAATAATATATGTTGCAAAGGGACTAGAATATTACCAGTGATAAATGTCATTGCATTATGATCAAGGTATCAATTCACCAAAAAGACCAAAAAAATGCTAAAATGTATACAGAGACTCAGAGTACATGAAGTAAAATCTAATGAAACTGAAAGAAGAAATAGGTAAACCACAGATGTAATTTAAGACTCCAACACTCCTCTCTCAATAATTTAGAGAATAGACATAAAACCTGTAAGGATATGGAAGAACTGAACAATACTATGAGCCAACTTGAACTAACTGATATTTATGGAATACTTCTCTCAACAACAGTGGAATACATATTATTTTTAAATGCACATTGGACATTTGCCAAGATAGATGATATTTAAAAACATTTTTAAAGAATTGAAATAATATAAAGTATATCCTTAAACAATATGAAATAAAACTTAAAATTTCACAAAACCTGAGAATTATCTGGAAAATACCTACATATTTAGAAATTATACAATACACTTCTAAATAAATCATGCTTTAGTGTCATACAAAAAATGAGAAAATACTTTATTGGAATGAAAATGGAAATACACCATTTCTAGTTCTGGGACGCAATTTAAGCAATGATAAGTGGGAAATATATAGCATTCAGTACTTGTATTATAAAAGGATAATGTTCTCAAATCCATGTTTTAAGCTTTCACCTTTAAAACTAGCAAAAAAAATGAGTAAATTAACTCTAAAGCAAACAAAATTAAGGAAATTATAAAAGACTTGGGGCCCGGTGCACGAAATTCATGCACTGGGGCCCGGGGGGGGGGCGGTCCCTCAGCCCAGCCTGCCCCCTCTCACATACTGGGAGCCCTCAGGGGATGTCCTACTGATGGCTTAGGCCCGCTCCCTGCCCACCTTGGGGATTGGGAGGCCTGCTTGGCCACTTCTGGGTCACCACGGGTGACGGCCAAGCAGGCCCTGCTCTCAGTGGCCGTCCCCGGGACTGGAGGACTCCAGTGGGGCTGAGAGGAATGGGCACAGCCATCTTGTGGCTATGGGAGCTGCCATCTTAGTGTTGGAGTGACAATTAATTTGCATATTACTTTTTTATTAGATAGGATACACTTCAAGTGAGAAGCAGGCCAGTTGAGAGAGACAATAGCCCCTAATTCCTGGGTTACATGGTTTAAATGAGATTTTTTCTGGGTGGAAACTTTTATTTGTATTCAGAAGTGATTGGCAGAAAAGGATTATATAACTACCGTAGTTTTCCATGTATAAAACACTATTTTTTTTATAATCGTTAGACTGAAAATTCGAGGGGCATCTTATACATGGATGTCAGCTGAGGAGGGAGCCACATGGGTGTGTAACTGCCCATACTTTGTCAAAAAGGCTTCCTCCTATCATGAGCCTTATTGATACTAACATCAGCTGATGTGGGAATTGGAGGTGGAGGTGGAGGTGATGGTGGAGGTGGAGGTGGAGGTGGAGGTGGACAGTGCACAGATGCAACAGGGACTGGAGCGTTCTCAGCCCATAAAGATGTCATGGCCTCCCCTACCCCCCAGTGTCTTGTGTCCATTGGTTATTTTCATATGCATGCATATAAGTCTTTCGGTTGATCTCTTAACCTGCCCCCCACAAACCCTCCCCAGGCTTCCCACTGTAGTTTGACAGTCTATTCAATGCTGCTCTGCCTCTGCATCTATCCCTGTTCATCAGTTTATATTGGTCTTTATTATCCGTTTCAACCTCACCGGTGCCATCCCCAACTCACTGGGGTCGTCCCAACATCACCAGGGCCGTTTTGGCCTCACCGGGGCCGTCCCGATCTCATTAGGGCTGTCCTGACCTCACTTGGGCCATCCTCACCAGGGCCATTCCGACCTCACTGGGCCGTTTCGGCCTCACCAGGGCCGTCCCAACCTCACCGGGGCCATTTCAACCTCACCGGGGCTGCCCCAACCTCACCGGGGATGTTTTGGCCTCACCGGGGCCATCCCGACCTCACTGGGGCCATCCCAACCTCAACAGGGCCATCCCAGCCTCACTGGAGCAACACAAAGTTTGGCATTCTGTTTTTTGTTGGGCAGCTCCTTGCTGGGCAAAATCTCCAGGCATTCTTGGTGGCTGAATATCTGGTATGCTTGCTTGGATTTCATTTTCTACTAAGTGCACAGTAGTTTGCTTTACTCCATTTCTGTCATTTGTGATCTGTTTCTTTGTCTCCTCATTTTAGCTACTTCCCTGTGTTGATAGAGTGGCTTTCTGTGCTAGGTGTCCTATAGGGCCCAGTGGCTCAGCCTCGAGGCTACCCAGCAGGAGCTATGGAGAGCTCTGCAGATTCCTCTTCTTTGTTTGGGGTTTGGAGGTTCCCAGATGAGGCCCAGCTGTGAAGTAATGCAAGGTGCTGTGGGGCCTTGGGACTTCTTTTGGAAGTTCTGGGTCTCTCTTACCTAAATACAGTTTGTTAGGTAATTTTAAAATTGTAAAGGGACAGGCCTTTCATATGACAAGCCTCTGGGCACAGCTTGGGAGGGGCAGGATCTCAGGGAATCAACAGGGTGGAGCAAACAGCTATGGCTGATCCTCAGTCCTACCCTAAGAGGCCCCAAGTCTCAGTGTCCAGGTAATCGCTGCAAGCACCTCTGAGAGAAAGCCGCCCTCGAGTTCTGACAGATGCCAGACAGTCTAGTTTCTCCCCGTATGAGTCTGTGTTCCCAGAGACTCACCTGGAACTGGAGTTCAGCACAGTTGAGACTCCCTCTTGATTGACAAAGACAACCGCGTCCTCAGTTGCCAGCCCTTTCCATGTGCACCTCCGTACCTCTGCACTTTACTTCCGCACCTCCTCTGAGTCTCAGTGTGCTTTTCTCTTTCCTCTAGTTGTAAATTTCCACTCAGCCAGCCTTCCTGTGGCTCTGGATGATGTCCGTTTTGTCTTTTAGTTGTATTTTTGAAGTGGTTGTACGAGGCAGCAATTTCCAGTGTTTACCTATGATGCCATCTTGGTTTCTCTCCATAGAAATAATTCTTATCCTGATCAAACAGGGCACTGGGCCATCTCTTCCTAATAAGCTGACCTTCTCATTTTCTCATCATGTACAGGTTTATGGGACTGTTTTCCACATGAACCAGGGAAACCCATTCAAGCTAAAAGCCCTGGTGGACAAGTGGCCCGATTTTAATACAGTGGTTGTCCGCCCTCAGGAACAGGTAGGACGCCAGATGTGGAATCATACACTTGTATTTGCTATATGTGCCTACAATGCACATGGCAATGTAGAACCAAGGAACAGAGAAATAAATCAGGGTGATGGTGAAAAAATCCTCATCCTCAAGTAGCTCACCTTCTGGAGGAAAAGGTGGCTAAGCAAGTAAATTACAATTTGATAAGAAGTGTGTAATAACAGATGATGCACAACATACAGAAATAGCACAGACAGAAGCTGATTGAACTGTGGAGGTTGAAGATGGAGGGCACAGGAAAAGCTTAGAGGCACATCTTAGTGGAACCTTTACCTGAACTATATTTTGTAGATAATTATATATTTTTTAGGCTGAGAAGGAAAAGAGGACATAGAAAGGGCAAGGACAATGAGTTGGGGTGATTCTAAAAAGTAAATTCATAATACTAGAATTTCCATATACATTTTGGGAAAACATTTAAAAATTAGTGCAACTCAATATCAAAAACAAAAATTATAAGTTCACTTTAAAACATCCAATGAAATGATAAATTTATAACAAATACAAGTAGTATATCTTTCAGACAAATAAAAATTACTTCTAAAGCCACTAAATTAGACAATATATAAAATGAATAAATTTATGTTAATAACAAAAACTGAACTGACATAAAATTATAAAATATATTAAATAATTATAACTTTTATCTTAAATATGTGAGTGGTATCATTGCTTATTGAGTGTATGTTGTACATTTTCTAACTATGTAAAAAAAAAAAAAAAGGCTGTTTAATTCTGCACTAGTCCTGGTAATATTTTCCTGTGCCTCCTTCTTTTAACAATCTCACCTGTTTTTTAATAATTTTAGGGGATCTTTCTAAGTAAGCAGTTTCTTTGTTCTTCTAGAACTACAATGAGTATAACCATAGTATTGTTTTAAGAATGCATTTCTAATCAGATTTCATCTTCTTTGGCTTCATTAAATATAGATGGAGATTTTAATCCAGAGTAATCTACAACCAAATTTGAAACTGTCATGTTCATAGTTTTTGTGTTCTGCAACTGTTTCAAATGTAGTAAAATTTATTCTTGCAATAGAAGCTTTCCTTGTCAACTGTTTGTCGATCATCCTGAGGAGGAGGATGGAAATACAGAAGAATGCTGTCTAAGTAGTTATGTCTTTGTTTAATTTGATATTTTAATGCAATATATGGGTAAAAATGGTATTGTTCTGAAATTTTGCATCATAAATTGAATACTTGAGTCTCTCATCTTGATTACACGATTTAAATGATTCAGAAATAATTGTAATGCATCAATAAAAGTACCAATATTTTAGTATTTAAATATATCACATTGTAAAGGAATAAAAAAAGTATTGCAATCATGAACTACATGGAATTTGCTTTATTTCCCGATCACCAATGACAACAGGAGATGGTTGATAATTGGGATCATTACACCAATACTTACCAAATCTACTCCAAGGACCCCAAGAACTGTCAGGAATTGCTTGGCTCACCAGAAGTCATCAATTGGAAACAGCATTTGCAGATCCAAAGTAAGTAAGAAGAGTAGGAAGTGTGCTGACTCACTTCTCTGCCCTGATAATTTCCACTATGACTCTTATCTTTCTCCATACTTCAGAGCATCAGCCTGTTGTCAGTTTTTTTACTCAGCTGTGAATATGCCTGTAATAGGGGAAAACACCCTCAAACTTGCAAAACAATGGGCTTCATACGGGAAACAACATAACTCCTTGATAGCCAAGAATTTATGCCATATTTGCAGACATATCCAGAATTGCCTAGGGCCAGTGGTGGGCAAACTCATTAGTCAACAGAGCCAAATATCAACAGAACGATTGAAATTTTTTTGAGAGCCAAATTTTTTAAACTTAAACTATATAGGTAGGTACATTGTTATTAACTTAATTAGGGTACTCCTAAGGCTTAGAAAGAGCCACACACAAGGGGCCAAAGAGCTGCATGTGGCTCATGAGCCGCAGGTTGCTGACCACGGGCCTAGGCTGATTGGGTGCCAGAACAGAGCTCTCCTCAGGTCCCAAGGCTTTCCATGCCTGGAATAAGAATGACAAGTTCTGCCTAAAGCACCTCTTGGTCATTAAGGAAACCATCATGGTTATGAGCATGCCATCCAGAATCATACTCCCTAGGATGGCATTTGTCTGTCACTTGCTATATCATCTTACCCACATGACATATGTTCCCTGAGATAATATATAAAAACTAGAGGCTTGGTGCACAAAAATTTGTGCACTTGGGGGTGGGAGGAGTCCCTCAGCCCAGCCTGTGCCCTCTCGCAGTCTGGGACCCCTTGGGGGATGATCACCTGCTGGCTTAGGCCTGCTCCCCGGGGGATTGAGTCTAAACTAGCAATCAGACATCCCTCTGGCAGCCCAGCAGCCTTCGGAGGATGTCCACTTGCCAGCGGGGAGAAGACCTAAGCTGCAGTCGGACATCCTTAGTGCTGCCGAGGAGGCAGGAGAGGCTCCCACTACTACTGCTGTTCTGGCAGCCATCAACCTGGCTTGTGGCTGAGCAGAGCTCCTCACTGTGAAAGTGCACTGACCACCAGAGGGCAGATCCTGCATTAAGCGTCTGCTCCCTACTGTTCAGTGTGTGTCATAGTGACCAGTCATTTGCAGTCTTTCTGCTGTTAGGGTCAGTTTGCATATACCCTTTTACTATATAGGATAGAGGCCTGGGGGCTGGCTGGTTTCCTTGAAGGGTGTCCCAAATCAGGGTGGGGGTCCCGCATGGGTGCCTGGCCAACCTGGGTGAGGGGATGATGGCTGTTTGCAGCTGGTCACACCCCTGTTTTCAGACTGGCTGGTGACTGAAGCTCCCAGCCTCTCCTTTTTTTCTTTTTTTTTAAATTCTGGTATTTACTTACCTTCTATAATTGAAACTCTGTTGCCGTCACTGGCGCTCCCAGCTCTGAGACCGCGGCTGGCTGAAAGCAGGTATCTGGTGTTTGTTTGGCTTCTATATTTGAAACTTTGTGGCTTTTGGAGCTGTTTCTTTTGGAGTTGAGAGCCGGGCCGCAGCAGGCGGGGAACTTTGGCTTCCTCCATCACTGGAGCAAGCAAGCCTCCTGCTTGCTTCAGCTGTGTGGCTGCTGGCCGCCTTCTTTGTTGGCAGTTAATTTGTATATCTTGCTGATTAGCCAATGGGAAGCGTAGCAGAGGTACGATTAATTACCCTTTTTGTCTTTTATTAGATAGGATGAAGATAATGGTAGCTAAAGCACAGGGAATTGAAAAGATTAGGTGAAATGTTGAATAGGAATTGCTTAGCACAGTGGTTGGCAAACTGCAGCTCACGAGCCACATGCGGCTCTTTGTCCCCTTGAGTGTGGCTTTTCCACAAAATACTGACTTCTGCACATGGGCCACAAAGTTTCAATTGCACTGTACATGCGTGCCCACACGTGGTATTTTGTGGAAAGCCACGCTCAAGCGGCCAAAGAGCTGCATGTGGCTCGCGAGCAGCAGTTTGTTGACCACTGGCTTAGGATAATACTTGGATGTGTCAATTAACTTGGACTGCAAAGCAAACCTCATTATTCTGTGAATCAACATTTGGGCTGGGCTTTGCAAGACAGTTCTTCTGCTGGTTTCATCCAGATTTACTAATGTGGCTGCAGGGTGTTAATGGATGGACTATGGGCTAGTTGCTCTAGCATGGTCTCACTCACATGCCTAAATGACAGTTCTGGCTATTGATGCTGGCCACATTGGTGACAGCATGCTAGGAGCACAAGTCCTCAGCTGACTACCCTAATCCTATCCATATGGTGTTGGTCTCAACAAAACCAGGAACACAAATAAAGCCCATGGTGCAAGCCCTCTTTAGCCTCTCCCTACATCGAATTTACTCTTTTCCATTGGCAAAAGCAAGCCATAGGGCCAAGGTCAGATGCAATGCAGGAGGGGACTATTCCAGGGAAAAGATACAAAGAGACATGGGCACATTGTGGGTTATTCCTGAAACAATCTGCCATACTATGAACAGAGTAAGCACACAAGAGATGTTGGCTACTACTGTTTTTATAATGCCTCTCCTATGATTATGAAAACAATATGTTCAATTAGCCCAGAAAACTTGGTCCCAGTCTTGGCATTGCCACGAATGGTATGACCATGGTTGTGAATGAATCTCTGAGCATGTTCATTGCACAAATCCTGACTATGAGATGACCCATCACACATTGGCAGTACCAAGCCAGAACATAGGTTTTTAGACTATACATGTAGACATTTACCACTCTACTGGACAGCTTCACCAGAAAATGTACTGAAATAATTGTGTGACTCCTCTAAACCCCATCTAGGTTCCCAGTCCAACCTGAATGAGGTGATACAAAATCTCGCAGCCAGCAAATCCTTCAAAGTCAAGCACACAGAGCGCTTTCTCTATGCAGAACTTGACACTGTAAAGAAACTGATTCCTTCCCTGTTGGATGTAAATAACTTACCACCTGGTGATGGCAAACCCAAGGCCATGTAAGTTTGAGAAAAGTCATGGGACTCACATCTTCCATTCCTGAAGTAGCCTCCCAACTTCTCTTCCTGCTTTCACTCCTGCTTCCCTACGGTCAATATTCTTCAAAGCAGCCAAATCATTGTTTTCAGAAATGTATCATAGACAATAGAGACAAGAACAGATATAATAAGTACTCATGGACTTTACTTTTCTCTTGGAACTTCCATAGCAATCAAGAAATGTTTAAACTCTCATCCCTGGATGTTACCCATGCTGCCCTGGTGAATAAATTCTGGCATTTTGGTGGCAATGAGAAGAGCCAGAGATTCATCGAGCGCTGTATCCAGAAGTTCCCCACGTTCTGTCTGCTGGGGCCTGAGGGGAACCCTGTGTGCTGGGACCTGATGGACCAGACAGGAGAGATACGCATGGCAGGCACCCTGCCTGAGTACCGGAAGCAGGGCCTCATCTCCTATGTCATCTATATCCAGACCCAGGCTCTTAAAAACCTTGGCTTCCCCATATATTCTCACACTGACAAGAATAACAAAATAATGCAGAAAATGAGTTACAATCTGCATCATATCCGCATGCCCTGTACCTGGAACCAGTGGTACTGTGTGCCTCTGTGACACTGGTCTACAAACAAGTGTCAGATGGGCACCAACATGTGGCTGGAGCAATGGGTGGGTGGGCAGAGAGAAAGAATAAATCGTACATAATTGTAATTATCAGTAAAGTAGTGGGCTCTGGGGAGGCAGTGTGGATGTTCAATACCATGGTCCCTGCACTCAATCACTGCTGGCTTCCCTTAGGTGTATCAGGTTGAAGCAGCCCCAGGTACTCCACATGGTTTAGTTCCTCCATGCTCCATGACACTCTCATCAGCTGCAGGCTGCCCAGGATGGCTTCTCCTGGAACTCGCAGTGTGTGGATCTGTAGAGCCTTGCGAGATTTTCCAGAGAGAGGTAATAGTTTCTGAGCATTATGACTTACTCTTCTCTCTCTCTATGGTCTTTCTCTTAACGATCAGCAAGTGCACTCTGGTCAGTAGGTCTGTAGAGATTATCCTCTCCTCTGCTGCTTTCTCGATACATTAAAGGATTATACACTAATACGTATGAAATATTAGGTTAAACATAGTGTACTTGATATGGCAGGGAGAGTTTCGATGAAAAAGACTAACTTATATTAGCCTGACTCCTCCTCACTCCCACACCAGGGAAAATGATCCAATGTTGCTTCTAACAGCAGAACTTTTCTAAATCCACCGAAACCCAAACAATAAAGAGAATTTGTGTTTGATTGTCCAAGTTGAAGTGAAGTGGTTTGTGATGGGAAGAGCCTGGGTTGGGTTTATGGAGAGTGGGAAGACCCAGACACAGGGAGGTGGCTATTTATTGAGAAGTTTAGGGGGAGGGCAATACATCATGGTACCTATTGTTTCACTTGACCTTGGCACATTGTTTCAGGATGCCTAAATTCTATGCAGTCCAGACAATGGTCTCATGGGAAAGTCTGGTTGGTGGTGTGGAGCAATTTTCATCCTGGTTGGATCAGGGTAGTTGGGTGCTGGGGTCCAACCCCAGCAGGTCTAGGGGTCCCCAAAGGTGTGGACGGAGTCGGCGAAGAAGGAATGACACGGAGGCAGCATTCAGTCGATCAGCCACAATCTCCAGCCAAGTTCTGTGTCCTGTTCTCTTGCTAGGTTCTCCAGCCACGTTCTCCAGGTTCTCCAGCCAGGTTCGGTCGCCAGGTTCTGTAG